CAGCAGCCAAGGACTTCATTAAAGTATTAAAAAGCAAAGGTGTAAGTTTAACAACTAAAGTGAACCTAACTCAATGTGTTATATTTTCACTTGCTTCATATGATCAAAAACTTACACAATAAATAAGAAAGATGAAAGAATTGATGTATTTATATTGTGTTGCTAGTGTGTTTCAGAAAGTAGAATCAGAGTGTTGTTTATACACAAAGATGGTATCGTGTTATCAGAAGGGACAGGTCTCCAAAAGAGGACATTATACTTGGTAAAAGTGAAAGTTGGGGAGAACTTTGAAGAGGATCAGTGAGATGGATTGATGCAGAGGCTACAACAATGAGCTTAAGCCAGTGGACAATGTGAGGATGATACACGTGTGAGCAAGATTGTGTAGAGGGCCGCTATGAATTGAAGCCAAATCTATGGTGTCTAACAAACACTTTTTAAAGTAATAGATGTAAAGCAGATAAAATTTCTAAGCAAAAGGATATTACATTTTAGTGCCCTAAATAAATGAGGAAAAAAATTAAATATGTGGTCCGTAAGCTATTAAGTTCCAAATATGTGTTGTTTTCTTCCCTATTATTAGATTTTGTTTCTTTGTTATTAGATAACTTTGCTTTCATGAGATGTATTTTCATTTCATAGATAGCCTGTGAATTTTATTATTTCTAAATATGGGAAAGATAATTGATCCTGTGTCATGCACTCTACCAACTTTATTGATTCACACAACTTTATTGTGGATTATGTAGGAACTTCTATATTTAGGATCATGTGATTTGTGAAAAGTGGCCATTTCCTAGCTCTCTTTCTTTCATATTTTGATGCTTTCTGCTTAGTTATTCATCTGTCTGTTAATTTATTTTCTTGCCTAATTGCTCTGGCTAGGACTTTCAACAAAATGCTGAATAATAGTATTGAAAGCAACTATCCTACTTCTTGCTTCTAGGGAGAATGCTTTCAGTCTTTCACTGTTATTATGTTCTTTATAAAACTTTTTCAGCTCCTTTTATCGTAGAGAACAGATGCATCTGTAAGTTCAGGAAATCCAAGATTTGCTATCAGCTTCTAAAACTGGAGTGGAGCTCTGATAAGTTAGCAGTAAGGAATCGGGTTGCCAGCCCAAAGGCCTCATGATCTGAATCCACCAGCTGCTTCCCAAGAGGATGAAGAGTAACTTCTCCTGAAAATCTATTGGAAGGTTAGCAATGGTTTGGTTTCTATTCAATGGTACATAAAACTCAAAAGCTGAAACGAGATAAACGACTCTCTGCTAGAGCCGGATTCCTAAATTCAGATTTCTAGCTTTGGGAATTTTGAAAGCTTTTGAAAAAGAACTTATTGTTATTTTGTCATAACACTAAGACACTAAATCATGTACACCTGTGTTTATGATATCTTTGTTTTAGATTGAATTCTATAGAGAAATATAACCAATTATAGCTTATAAAAAAGTTCTGCTAATCCAAAAATCTCACATTTCTGATGGTTTGAATACTCCAACTGTTCCATAGAAGACAGATTAGCATTCTCCTTTCATTGTGATTAATAACCTAGGAAATCAAATGGAGAGTCACTATAAATTGACACTGTAATATGATGATAATATATGTGTGTGTATGTGTGAACAAACACACAAAGAACGGAGGGGAGAGAAATGATTGCAAGTGCATGGTTTGTACAATTGTAGAAGTTGGCCAATCCCCCAATGAGTCAGGTGGGTACTAGGCTGGAGGCTTCTCATAGCTAACATAGCTGCAGGAGCTGGCCAATCACAAATTAATAGAAAAGAGAACTGGCTGCTGGTTAATGCGCTTCTGAGTTTGATGAATCAAAGACAGGCAAGTGAGATGATGGGCTGCTGGCTCATGACTATAGAGGCTGATGAATCCTAAGGTGCTGAAGTCCAATGATGAGGAACTAGATGGAGGATTAGAACAAGTGATGTCTTTCACAGAGTATCTGTGTATCAATCTGTCTAAGCCCCTTATTTGATAACATTCTTTTGATCTTGAAGGAGACTCTTACCTTTGAGGGATTTGGAGTCTTTGCTGTCGAGGTATTTGATCCTTGTTTCCACACTTACAGTGAGTTAAATAGTATAAAACTAAAAACATCTTTTGTCTTAATTCTTCTCAGGCTTTACTTGCTATTAGGGTATAATTTCTATATTGCAGTATAACTTGATCTCTTATCTTTAGAATACTTAAGTGTTCTGCCAAATTTTAGATGAGATCTTAAACTTATAACAAATACTTGCCAAGTGTGATGCCTTTTTTTTTGGCCCTACCCTTTAATCAATTTCTATAAAGAAAAACAAGACTTGGGAATAGACAGGGGACGTAGATGACTCATCTCTTTAGGAACGTTATGGGTTATTTGTTTGATGTTTTTCAGCCTGAAAAGAGCTGGCCTTTGTCAGAACATCAGGATTTCCAAGACCAGTGTCATCCCACTCTTTTAGCTAAAAATCTTTCTAGATCAAAGGAAAAAAATTTATTTTTTTATCTTTCAGATCTTTTATATTGGAAAAAAACACCATTCTGATACTTCTGCCTCTATTTTTCACTTCTTCTGTGAATGTTTTTATACATCCATAAAACCAGTTGGTCACCTTTTATTGCAGAAAACTTTGCCAACAATGGATATAAGTGACTGATTTTAGCCAATTCATGGTAAAACACACCTTTCCTACCCTCTGTGTGTGTGTGTGTGTGTGTGTGTGTGTGTATTTATACATACATATATCATTAAAATATACGTATATATAAATATAAAGAAGATGGAAGGAATATACTGAGTCACTGTATCGAAAGGAATTGGAAGAGCCTATGGTGATGAAAGAAGAAGTTCAGGCTGCTTTGAAGGAAATGGCAAAAAATAAGTCTCCAGGAATAGATTGTATACCAATTGACATATTTCAGTTAACAGATGCTGCCCTGGACGTGCTCACCAAGTTGTGCCAAGAAATCTGGAGAACGACCACTTGGCCAACTGACTG